AATTCACTCACTTAGATGTACAATAGCAATTATATGTATACTTATTTTTGTATATGTGTATTTAAGGTTTGTCTGATAAAAATAAAAATAAGTCACGGTTATTGTTGTCAAAACATTTCAAAGATATGATGAGTAATCAAACTGTAACTAGGGGCGGGGGAGGGGTGAAGATCGGTAAAAGGGTAATGGTGATGTGTTATCAAAAAACATATTTATCAACACATAAAAGAAGTTGGATATGCGCAATGCAGTTACGTAATAAGATGAATAGTTTAATGGGTAAGTGAATGAATTCTCCGAAAATAGACCCCTTCCTGAACTACTTGTTTTGTTTGCATTAATGCCTGGATGGAGATTATTCATAAATCAAATGACGATTTTCAGATAAAGGTGTGTACATAATCTCTCTTACATAGAAATACGAAATTCCAAATAAACATTCCGTTACCAAGTCTCTTGCCATCTGTCGTTACAGAATGGCTGAAAAATATTCACAATACACAATGTGTTCGTCAATCATTATCATATTCAAAAATCCTCAACACTTTCGTCATTCAATGTTTAGTTGTTATCTTTCTGACTGACTGGTTTCAACGTGGAACTCTGCACACATGTGCAGCAGATTTTACCATTCCGAGGACCTCAACCAGTTAAAAGTCTAAACCTCTCTAAGTGATTGGCTTAAACGAACTGTTGTGGACTTCATTGATTGAAGTCATGTTTTGGTTTGACCAACACGAGCAGCTCTTTTCCAAACAAACTGATCATATTCAAGTGTGTTACTGATCATATGTCAGTCAGCTAAGATTGCCCGTCAAGGAAGGCAGGCGACGGCTAGATATACATGCGTAACACATATCCTAACCATCTCACTCAATCGACGCAGCTAATTCACAACCTTGTCAATTGATTTTAACTCCCTGCTTACCTGACACTCTACTGAGGCCTAACGTCAATATTACTTACCATATTACGCCTACCACCTCACACGGAAGACAGAGTGCAGACACCTATGATGAGAGACAGCTAGCCGGCCTTTTCATGTCTTCCAGTTTCATCGACCATGTCTTACTGACAGCCATAAAGGAGGACGAAGCGAAGTGCTGAGCTGTTCACCCACCCACACGTCCATCTCTTCTTTATTGTATAATCCTATTTCGGTTCTCTTGTATTTACGTATGCGCGAATATATATATATATACATCAGATAGAGAACGAATGAAGACCAAGGAGTACTGGACAGTTGTTTCATCCTAGTTTGCGATTCATCTGCAGCACGCAACCATCCACTATCTGTCTTCGAACCCAAGACCTTCCGGTTATAAGGCAAGCTCGTATACCATCCAGTCACTGGGACTCGATTCAATGGCTAACCCATAAATTCTAACTTCTACCACATCTGTGATTTCAGCACGACCAGTAACTATCGTCATCGGCGGGATCTCCATCCTCACACACTTGACTGGATGGACCCTATTGGTGACGACTTCTCACTAGAAATTCAGGCAACTCTGTCTTGTAGCCAGTCACTAGCAAGCGCATCAGAAAGGTCCGCGGCTTGAAACTCCGAGGGTCTGTAATGCCAATGAGTCTTAAACTAGGATGAAACAGTCTTTCCGTAATCCAGTACTGTGGTGAGAGCAGGCCGTGAGAAAATATGTACAAGGCTGATTTAACAACCAATCACAGCAAACTTAACATGGCAAAATATGATTCGCAGATAGAGAACTCTATTTGTCGAGGAATCCCGACAAATGGAAAGCCTATGTCCTGCAGTTTTTGATGGAGACATATGGATCTTCGGGCAGGACTTCAAGGCTTCTGCGCAGTTGAGTGGCGTTCAAGATCTGTCAGCGATGGAGCTGCTACTTGGAACGCTGCTGGGAGGTCGGGCGAAAGCAGCATATGAAAGTGTGAGCCGAAATAACGACGAATGTTCGACAGGGTCAGGCAAACAGTTTCCAAAGTGGGTGGGACCACATATGATCACGTCGAGATGGGGTTACGCAGACACAGTCGCAATAGCGAACAATGAGAGGCGCGTGAACGTCAGCGAGCTCCAGAAATGGATACAGCGAGACAAGCCAACGATGACGCCTGCACCAAGAAGATCAAGCAGACTTCGGTCGCAAGTCTTTGATGGGGAGACGAGTGTGGTGAGAGCAGGCCGTGAGAAAATATGTACAAGGCTGATTTAACAACCAATCACAGCAAAGTTAACGTGGCAAAATATGATTCGCAGATAGAGAACTCTATTTGTCGAGGAATCCCTAAACAACCAATCCGAAGCCTGCGTTTGTCTGCCTAACTTCTGATAAACAACCAATCAGATGACTGCGCTTGTCTACTTGCATAAGCTGTAATAATGTATATGAAATATATATAAATACGTGTTGATTTTCATAATAAAACGATCTGTTGCCTGGCCCTTGTCTTCTGTTGTTACAGTACTAGTTTTCAATAGTTCTCTAACTGATATCAATCCATAGGCAAACCTGAAGAATAAATCCACTCTTGAAAAACATATATATATATAATTGACGAATAGAATTTGTAACCACTAAAGATGTACAGAAAATCATATTCTTTGTTGTTTTTTGAATGTGTAAAATTTTATGTACACGGGCCATAAATTATCTAGGCATACAATAAAATGTTTTAACACAGTTTATCTCATATCTAATTAGCATAATTTATCATAAAAAGTAAAAGAATACAATCCAGATATGTACACACAGATATATCTAATTGACATAGTAATAATTACCAATCAGTCTATGACATAATCTACACAATCAACATTTAGAGATAACAGAAATAAATAAAACACATTAGCATAACAAACAGTAGGTTTATAGAGATGTACATCGTAATAGATATACACTAGACAGTATCATCATATACCAGTTAGAGAGCCGTCGGAAAACCATTAGAGAATACTGGATAAGCAACTGTTTCGTCCTAGCCTCACTGGGATTCCAAACCAGGAGCCCTGGGGTTGTGAGGCAAGCTCTTAGACAGACCCAACAAGTCCATGAAATTCAACCTCTACCAATTTGTGATATATATGTGTTTAAATCAACCACCAGCCAGTGTCTATGAAGTCGCCTGATAATCAGGAGGTCCTGTAGCTGATGTCAGCTAGTGATCAATCCTGTAAACCAATCAAATCCCTGAAAACCAACACTTGGTAATATCCTATGTTTTTTGGAAGTGTGTGGGCGGTTGTTACTTCCCGGCTGCCCACACCGTGGAAGTTGATTAATTCTTCGGGTACCTGAAACAGAAAGAGGGTTCGTGTTGTGTGACCACAGAGCCCAAGGGAAAACTGCTTGATGCTGGTCGCTCACACACGGCCTGTATGAACTAGTTCCTTGGTTTGGTTCCGTATTAGTAAACTTACCGCCGGTTACGGACCACTGTAGGGCAAGTTGGGATGTACAATTTTTGGGGTCAACGTTTCTTAACCCTCTCTCTCTCTCTCCAGAGTGGAGAGACAGCATAGCTGGTTGGCTTCCATACTGGTCATCTGAGGGAAACACCTCACTGCGGCCTGTTACACCCCTGTTCCCCAGCAGTCCGATTTTGCCCTCAGACACCCAGCATAGTGTCAGAAAGATTCTTGCACAATGGTGGTAACTGCTTTTAGTCTAATCGCTATCTTAACAACCTTCCTGGCATAGTACAACCTGCAGGAACATTGGTTCCAGCCAGTGCAGCTTGTTGGGTCATCGTGATGTGCAAGCCCGACCGCCAAGTCAAAGTAGCAGCTATCGGTCGGGGGAATCGTATACGTGATAGAATATACACCATACACTGCACAGTACAATCTAGTTTTTCAGTCAACGCGATTAATCTTTATAAGTTTAGTTAGTAATAAAGTTGCGCATAAAATAAACTGTGTTGATATTCTGTGATTGCTATACGTACAAGTGTGACACAAAACACCTTGCTTGTCTTAGATATTCTTATGAGAAATCACAATAGGCAACAGTATCCTGCCACACAGCAATCCAGATGGAGGATTTTAAAAGTTTAAAATAAAACGCCATGCTATAAAGTGTCATATGATAGATGTCTTGGTAATATTTATTACCATTATTTACAAAACAAACACTGTTAGGTAAGAATGACAGCATAAGATCTTGAATCGCTGAGCAGCAATCCAACTTGGGACAATTTTGTATTTCCACATTCAGTGTAAGGAAAGAAAACTAAATAGGCATTTAGACTAAGATATACTGTAGGGGAACGAAGAAGTTCATTAACTCAGTTGAACCTCAGTGGTTTCACCGTCAACAATCAATTTGCTGCTTATCCGTGCGGATTGAAGTATATGGTGGGCAATATACTTTTTGAAGGACAAGAGCTCGTACTACTTATACTTGTACACTCTTTGCAAATCATCGTCAATTAAATACACCTTTCACCAGCTGAAAGTGTTGTATTCTCCTTCACCAGGTGGCATGGGCCAGGATAAACAGTCAGCAAACAGTGTGGTTAGAACTTATGTCTAACGGGATTGACAGCGACACGACACAATCATGAGGGATATTTGTAGCTGAAACCAACTGGAAGTGATCTCGAATCTGTGCAAGCAGTCCAACTAATTGGTTTCCTAGAATACCACTGATTCATAGAATCAAAAACACTTGATATAACAGTGTGAAAATATCCACCTAGGTTTTAATTGAATTTTAGATTTTCCCGTCGATTGATTCGACCAAAGTGCTTGGTCTCAGGTTGACATGTCTGTCGGTTTCTTGTGCACATGCTTTAACGATGTCTGGGCATGTAATTGGAAGTTAATTGGTTGATGGTGGCTAGCAATGGAACTCAGGAGAAGGCACTTCATCCTATTTGGGATTCATCATCTGGATGTACCTTCCCTATGTTACCAAGTCAGTCGTCTTCCGTCGTTACAATATGCAGAAGAGAATGTTTAAAACCAAAGGAAGTTATCTGTATTCAAATTATTTTTAAAGAAAACGCTGACTCACCACCAACAGAAGAGGAGGAGGATGCTGAACGTTCCAATCGTTGTAAACTTGAAGATGCAGATCCAGTTGAAGCGACTAAGGCTACTAAAGCAGCCGGTGAAAGACCAGTTTGTTGACCTAATTCAATTAATTTATTTACACTTGATGAAGAGATTGATGCAGATGAGGAAGCATTATTATTATTATTAGTAGTATTACTTAGAGCGTTCAACAATGCTAATGGAGATGCAGTGTTACAACTACCTTCATCACTAGCTGTTGTCGTTGTTGAAGATGATACTACATTGGATAATTCTGATAAAAGTAATGGATCAGTTTCTAAATTTGTTGTTGATGTTGCTGCTGCGGAAGATAATAATGCGGCGGCGGCAGCAGCAGCTGCAACTGATATAGCACTTGTATCCCCATTAGTTGCTTGACATAATAACATCCAACGTTCATTCTCTTCTGGATGAGCATTTTCATAATGTCGTCTTAAAGAACGTGAATCACTATACGATTTATCACAAAAATGACAGGCGTGCGGTTTACGACTTTCATGTGTGTATTTATGACCATTTCTATATTATAACAGATGAAAAAGTAAAATAAAATAAAAATTAGGTAACAGTATTTCAAAAAGTATTATTGTTGTTATTATTATTAACTGATTAAAAATGCTCATTGTGTGTCGGTGGCATAGCCGTTAAGACGTTCTCCGATCATGCACATGGTCCACCGTTCGATCCCCCGTCATAGACGCACTCCTTTACCTCGCTAAGCCAGAAATAATCCTGGTAAAGAGGAAAGGTTGGGTGTGAAGCTAACAACCCCATCTTGTAAAATAAACACTGCTACAGAAACTTCAAGCCACTAGCTTGAAGCCCTATGTTCCTATTTTTTTTACAAAAGAATGGATACTGAACAGCGAGTACTCTTTTCGATAACCTGCTCTTCATCAGGTTCTACAGTTATATATGTACATTATAGTGAATGAATGAATGAATTAGTGTTATGAACAACATTAATGCCGTTTAAATAACATCGAATCAATAACATTGATAGATTACAGCTAGATAGCATCAACATAACACTACACACTGAATGTCAGAAAAATTAGGAAAGATAAAATTACAAATTCATGAATTTATAGTCTCTACTGCGGGCTGGCCAGGGCAGTAGTAGGGGCTGCAATGGCTTCTTTTCAACACAGACCACTGGTTGTTTGAGGCAAATTGCAATAGCCTGTGCTGTTTGTAGCATGTGGTGCTTCGATGTTTTTGGCAATTTATTAGGCACTCGGTAGATTATAGAGAAGGATTCTTCAATGGTGGCTGCCTTTGTGGCAGGTTTGCATCAGATGGTTCAATATCGAACTGTTAATGATTTTAACTACACCTTATTATTGTTATTATTATTATTAATATAGTTGAATATGTTGGAATCAATCACGACAAAGATTTTTTTAAATGTACTCTCCTACATTAACACGAAATAACGAATGCTTCTTTGAATGCATCAGAATACTCTGGATCACCGATAAAAAAAGACTCTAGAAGATCGGTATTTCCGTGTGTGAATGATCAATGTTGACGCAATGTCACGCAAACTTGAAGACTTGTAGGCAGGCGGAAACCAACATATTGGCTGAAGAGGTCAGCAGCGAAGACAGGACTCCAAGTGAACATAGAGAAGACAGAGCAACAACAACAACCAACACTAATCACCATCAACGGGAGAAACTTGGAAGAGGTCCCTTCCTTCAGTTAACTAGGAAGCATTCTTTCAAACACATACACACGGCACGGATGAAGATGTCAGAGGCGGCCAGAATTGGAAAGGTGAGAGAGACCTTCAAAAAATCTGAAATCGATTTGGAAATCTTCTGCACTACACTCAGCCGGCATAATGAACAAGATTTGGATTCTCAGCACCGATGTTAAGTCCGTTATTTCTTCTAAATGTGTCAGAAACTTGGACTGCGCGCGTCACGAATAACATTTTCAACAGGCTACGAGCTACCGCCTTTGCTGGCTTCACTATAACTAGTGTTCTAGAAATAGGGAGTGAAGTGGTAGAGCACGTTTACCACTATGCTTATTTGGGAAGTACCACCAGCCAGCGCCAACGGGTTAATCTCTGACGAAATCTCAGCACAGATACAGAAGACTCGTTTAGCGAATGCCAGTTTACGCCATCTCTGCCTAAGTAGACATGATATCCGACTGGCTATCGAACAAAGGGCGGGTGTACTGCTCAGCAGTTCGCTGAGAGTGTGGAAGACATGAGAAGGATAGCTAGCTGTCTTTAATCTTAAGTGCCTGCATTCTATTTCCTGTGTGAAATGCTTTAATCGGGTGAGCAATATTGAGGTTAGGCGACTGTCGAGTGCTGGGTAAGGAGGGAGGGGAAATCAATCGATGAGGCTGTGAAATTACATTGTTTGATATGGTTAGAACCTGTGTTACGCACCCCTGTCTAGCCATCGCTTCCCCCGACAACAGGTAATGTTAGCTGACTGATATAGGATCAGGTTGGAAAAGAGCTAGAGCTAGCTGCGGTCAAACCAAAACATGTCCTCATCAGTCAATGAAATCACATGGTCCGGGGTTCGAGCCCACGCCGGCGCACACCTGATGTCTATGGTCGGCCTGCAAAATTTGGGCTACCGATATCCACGCTGAAAATTCCATACTTGTACCGAAAATACAGTGTGGAATCAAGCTGTAAGTCAAAAATAAAAAAAAAATAAATAAATAAAATAATCTACAACAGTTAGTTTAAGTCAGCCACGTGTGAAGGTGTATACTTCCTCATTGAGGTCCTCGGGACGGTAGAAACCAGTGGTCACTGGAGACAATCGGTGATATGGCTCAAACTCATCGTTCTCAATGCATAGCGCAGATGCATCCACTCCTTGTGACTTTTGATTTCCAATGAAACTATACTGTTCTTCGTTATTACTATTCCTTTGTCTCACATCTCTGTTTACTGTTTCTATTTTATACATTTCTTATACTTTCTTCTCTTGTTTTGTGTGCTACAAAGGGAGAGTGTGGCGACTTGAACTGGAGTACATCGTTGCTAAGTTCTATGCTGAAAACAAACAAACAGACAGACAGACACACTGAAACTAAGTCCTTTCTAGTTCATCCAATTTAGTTCTTTATCATCGTCTTCAGAACTCTCCACACTATTATCATCATCTTGATCACTATAAACTACATAACTACTTCTATTTAAATACCAAAATTTGTGCATAGAAGTATATCCAAGATTCGATAGCTTCCAAAGTATCTAGACTCAGAAATATTCTATGACTTCGTCGACTAAGCAAGTAATAAACATGTACATAGACATGGAAAGCGGTGTGTATCTATTCCCACCGTGTAATAATAGGTCAATCCTAGAATTGAACAATTTAGAGTTAACATCTCTGAGTGAAGTATACAAGTGATAACTATTTGGATATCTAAGAGGAAATTAGTCCTTTCGAGGTTATAAGTATGTCTTGCTGACGAGCGCCATAAAGTATACAAAACCCTATGCCAATAGCTACTTGATGACTACCTGAAACTATATGTAACTTACAGAGATGAGGAGGCACTAAACTGAAATCATCGTTGAAATCATGTGCTGGTGATTATCACAATTGAAATCATTTTCAGTAAAATCCCGATAAGTTTATAATGAATTTGTCCCATCGGTTGAACATGCAGTGTACATGAGAAGGAGACACTGTCACCTGGTTAATTAACTATGTCGGATAAATGAAGAAAAAATCAGTCGTATACACTTTCCTTGAAGAGTTAGTGATATCCAGATGACCATAAGAACTCGGAGGTGCACCGATGATTCAGCAGTAGACTGCTGGCCAACCATACACGTGGTTCCGAATTCGATTTCCAGCTGGCGCAGACCTTTACCCCTCTCTTAGCCGCTTACAGTCCAAACAAAAGGGAAAGGTTACGAGTGAGGGTAGATATCCCACCCCGTAGAAAAACACAACTGCTAGTAAAAATTCAAATCTCAAGTAGGAACGCAAAGGAAGGAGGATTTAAATTTAAATGACAGTGTGGTGAGAGCTGATTGCAAGCCAAAGTTCTCGACAGCAATTTACGTCAATGTTGTTGCCGGAATCGGAGCCCTGAAAAAAACAATAACAAAGCTTAACCAACCAGTTACAGCAGACTTAACGTGTACAAATACGATTCGTAGATATATGGCTTAACTTTCTGAGAAACGGTCGCAAGCAGTAGAGAATAACCTTCAGGAAAAAGACAAGCAACCACAAGACGTTTCATAGCCGCTAACAATAATATTCATAAAAATCTTCAAATATCTGTTGATTTTGTCAATAAACGATCTGTTGCCTGGCCTTTTTCTTCTGTTGTTACACACCAGCTAGACTTTACAGTGTAAGAATCATCTAAGTTGTAACATCTTATTACTGTCAACGTCGAACACAGAGAGAGACAGTGAAAGAAGAGAATGAAAAGTAAAGTTGGAGGCAAGTTATGCAAGTATCTGTAACATAGGTCTATTTTAACACGTTGTTTAACTATATGGTTGCGGTGACCACAGAGACTGAAACTAGACAATCTATGCTGTGCTTCATGGTTCAGATGTAATCATATGGTTAGTAACTTAGTCCAGAACAACATGTATAAGCCGCTAAAACTTCAAGCCACTAGCATCACTACATTTCGATAAATATATGAACACAAAATATTAGAGTAAAACAACTGTGAAGTACGATGATGATTTAACAGTAAATGGTCTGAGTCTAACGGTCTTAAACTGAATCCTTCTAAGTGTCAAACTGTTGATTTCAGCTTAAGATGTAAAAGACAGTTAAAAGAAGTCATCAATTCTCATGACAGGTGGTAAGATTGACGACAATGATATAGGAATCAAATCAGAAATTAAGTATCTTGGACTTATTCTCTCTTCTGATCTCTCCTGGTCTTCCCATGTCTTAGCGATCTCCAGTAAAATATTCCGCTTGACATTTTACATTAAGAAGTTAAGGCACTCGGGTATAACTTGACCCCTCCTCTTACAGTTCAGAAACACTTGCATCCCATCTATTCTCCTTTATTGTTCACCCTTGCTTATTCTTTCCTGGTTTGCCTGAAAAGGACTATGTCACAATTCTTAGAATGCTGAAGACTGTCAGTAGGGTGAGTGGTGTCCCAGTGGACCACATAGTTAACGTTGTTGTCGATAGGCACTTGACTTCATGCAACAAATTCGCTAGAGGGATTTGTCTGACTTGGAGCATCCGCTTTACCCTCAGCTTTCACCTTGCATCTCCTCAGGTAGAACAAGGAGTAACTTCAGAAAAGAGTATGCTCGCACGTCTAAGTATAAGAATTCTATGATACCATCCTTGGAACGTATTTTATGTGATGAAAATAGTGTCACGCAAGAATTAACTAACCTTTTTTCATCTAGCAAATAAAAACAATTTCCTCCATCCATCCATCCTTATATACCTTCAAGTGTTACTTTTATTATTTCTATTATATTTATGGTCCTGTTGCTTCTTTGTTTGTTTTACTCTCATAATTGCAAATAC